ACCTCAGGATTGCACAAAGGAGCATCAATAACTAGCGGAAGGTGATGATTTTGCTCCATAGGAAAACCGGCGGGTTTGGAACCCAGAAGACCAAACTCCGAAATAATATCCAGGGCATACTTGCGTTGGCAGAGAAAGATGCCAGAGGGATGGCGGGCCACCTGAATGCCGAGAAAGTATTTGAGAATGCCAAGATCTTTCATGTGAAAACAGGTACTCAAATAGTTTTTGAAAGACTGAATAGCAACTCGATCATTACCCGAAATGATGAGATCATCCACGTAGACCAACACAGTAAGCTGGACAGTTGCTTGGCGAAGGACGAATAAAGAGTAATCAGAAGATGATTGTTGAAAACCATATTGGCAAAGAGCACTAGCCAACTTGGCAAACCAACAACGCGGAGCTTGGCGCAGACCATATACTGAACGACGAAGGCGACATACCGTCCCGGGAGACGGAGACGAAAAACCGGGAGGGAGCCGCATATATACTTCCTCGACCAAATCGCCATGTAAAAAGGCATTGTGAACATCCATTTGATGAAGTTCCCAGCCCTTTGCAGCAGCAACTGTAAGAAGTGTACGAACTGTGACCATCTTTGCCACGGGAGCAAAGGTTTCATTGTAGTCAAGTCCCTCAATCTGATTATTGCCCAAAATGACGAGACGAGCCTTGTAGCGCTCAACCGTGCCATCTGAGCGGTACTTAATTTTGAATACCCATTTGCACCCAATGGCGCGTTTTCCGCGTTTTCCGGGTGGAAGAGAATCAATAGTCCAAGTACCACTATGTTCCAAGGCCTCAATTTCCCGTTGCATAGCAGCACGCCACCGTGCATCTTTAACAGCTTCGTTAAAAGAACGCGGTTCCACCCCTGCAGTGACACTTGCCAAAAATGCTCGATGGGATGATGAAAAAGAATCACAAGAAACGTAATTGTGTATGGGATAGGACGCACCTGAGGAAACCGATGAAGAGGAGGGAGCGAGAGAGGGGCCTGAAGAAGATACTGTGTGGGAAACAAAATCCTTCAAGCGAGTAGAATGCTCCTTAACCCGATGACCACGGCCTAAAGGTTCCTCTGGTGGAGTCGAAGGAAGAGAGCCCCCCCTATCTGAGGTGGAGATACCGGGAGTGTCGGAGGCGGCTGGAGAGTCGGAGGTAGCCGAAGAGTCAGAAGCGACCGATATAGAAGAGGTGGCGGGAGTAGACCCAACAATCGCAATTAAATCATCATCATCAATGATAGGAGGAGAGTCAACAATAGACGAACTAGGCGGGAGAGGCGTCTTGGCAAAATACGGAAACTCAGACTCGGAGAAGCTAACATCACGAGAGACGAAAAATTCCCCAGACTCTAAGTCATAAACCCGTCAACCTTTTTGGCCAAAGGGATACCCGACAAATAAACACTTGCGACCTCGAGGAGAAAATTTATCACCTTTAGTATGTTTATTATGGGCATAACAAGACACCCGAAAACACGCAAGTGGGCTAAAGAGGGGGGTTTTCCATACAAGATTTCACATGGGGATTTTCCCTTTAAGACATTGGAAGGAGTGCGATTAATCAAGTAACCAGCAGCAAGTACACAATGTCCCTAAAACTCGATGGGCAAATTAGCTTGAAAACGTAAAGCTCTAGCCACATTGAGAGTGATCCATCTATCTACATTAGGAAAGTGTAGTCTCTTGCAACCTTATTCATGTCCTGTTTTCCTCAACTGTAAAAAATCAATTCTGTTTGAGATGTCAGATGTGGTTTTTTGTGGGTCGTGTAAATGAATTTTGGCACCTTATGAATTTTGATCATTTGCTTTGGAACTCTCGTGTGTGCTATCACCAAAAATGTTCTTTCCTGGACCTTATGGCATATGGGTGGATAAAAAGTTATAAAACTAATTTACCATCAACAGTAATTTCAGACAGTTTTATATGTATATGCACTAAAATGGTTCACTTAATATGTTATCTCATATTCGAATTTAAATCATCTAATAAGAATGGTAATTGGATTTTTTGGTTTAGTTTGGTTAATTTTGAAAAATGTAGTGACACGTGTCTTGCAGTAAATTCACATCATCTGTCAGCACATAATATTGTGAATGGCTTCATAAAATTTTTGTACAACTTAGATTCCATTGATGATTGATGAGACCAAAGTTGCAAAAAAAAAAAAAAAAAAAAATTAATGGACCAATTTTTGCAATTTTTAAGAACAACTTTGTAACACTCGTCTTGTGAGGGCTATTTCCAATTTTCTATATCGTTTGGAGTGTCAGGCGGCTGGAGTCCGGGACTGGACGTGAATAGCTGCGCCGGCGGCCGGCGGTATAACCAGTACTTTCAGCATCATCACTGATATATCTGATTTTACTTTGAAAAAGCAAACGGAAACCCTTTTCAATACCATTACTGATCCTAACAAATAAACTCATAATCACCTTTGCTTCAATTGTTTTTTTCCCAAATGCAAGTTTCGAAGCTGAGGACCTTGCTGGACAAGTCCCTCACCGTCGACCAGGCCAAGCAAATCCACTGCCAGATTATAGTCAACCGCCTCCGCAACCTCGAGCCGCTGCTCGTCCGCCACACCCTCAAATCCGCCGCCGCACATTCCCCGAGAGCCACCCGCTACGCCTCCTCGATCCTCCGCCGCATGCCGACCCGCGACGCCTCCGCCACGTCCCACGCGATCCGCCAACTCTCCCAGCGCGGCCAGTTCTCGGATGCCCTCTCTCTCTACAGACAGTCCCTCGGCTGGGGACTTCCCCCCACCACGTTCGCCGTGTCCTCCGCCCTCAAGGCCTGCGCCCGGATTTCGTCCAAAATGGGCGGGCCGACGATCCACGGGCAGGCGCTTAAGATCGGGCTGTGCGGGGCAGTCTTCGTCCAGACGGCCCTTGTCGACTTCTACTCCAAATTGGGGGACATGGGTGTCGCCCGCAAGGCGTTCGACGAAATTAATACAAAAAATGTCGTCTCTTGGAACTCGTTGCTGGCCGGCCACGTGAGGTCCGGCGACATCTCAGCCGCCCGGGCTGTTTTTGACGAGATGCCGGACAAAGACGTGATATCCTGGAACTCCATGGTCTCGGCTTACGCCAGGGCAAAGGAAATGGACCGAGCTTACGAAATTTTCCGGATAATGCCCCAGAAGAGTCCAGCCTCTTGGAACACGATAATTTCGGCTTATGTCGAGTGTGGAAATATCGAGCTGGCCCGAAACTTTTTCGACGCCATGCCCGAGAGGAACAGTGTTTGCGGCATCACATTGATTTCAGCTTACTCCAAGCGTGGAGATGTAGGATCTGCAGAGAAGGTCCACGATCAGCTTCCCGTAAAGGACCTGCTTTCATACAACGCCATGATCGCTTGCTACGCACAGAACAACCGGCCGAAAGAGGCCTTGCAGCTGTTTGAGGAGATGCGCGGGCCCTTAGTGGGCCTGGAGCCCGATAAGATGACCCTAGCCAGTGCTGTCTCGGCATGCTCTCAGCTCGGGGATCTCGAGAATGGAGATTCCATCGAGTTGTATATGAAGGAGTTGGGGATCTCGATGGACGATCACATAGCTACTGCTTTCATCGACCTTTACACGAAATGTGGGAAAATCGAGAGAGCTTACAGGCTTTTCAACGTGTTGCGGAAAAAGGATTTAGTGGCTTATACGGCGATTATATTGGGTTGCGGGCTAAATGGTCAGGCCCGGGAGGCGATTGGGCTATTTGAAGAGATGATGAGTGCCGGTATTATCCCAAACCCAGTTACATTTACAGGTATATTAACGGCTTACAATCACGTGGGCATGGTGGAGGAAGGGTACAGATGCTTTTTGTCCATGCGGGAAAACGGGCTTTCACCATCACCAGATCATTACGCGATCGTGGTTGATCTTTTGGGCCGGGCCGGACGGTTGGAGGAGGCCCACGAAGTTATCAAGAGCATGCCCATCAAGCCACATGCTGGGGTGTGGGGTGCATTGCTCCATGCGTGTAGCTTGCATGATAATGTGGAGCTTGCAGAGATTGCTGCCAGGAATTGTTTCGAGCTGGAGCCTGAAGGTGGGGGCCGTTATTCCCTGCTTGCCGGTGTATATGCTTCCAGTGGGAAGTGGGACGAGGCGAATAGGCTGAGGTCAGATATTGACGAGAAGGGTTTAGTGAAGATTCGGGGATCTAGTCGGATGGAGTGTGCCGAGCCATAGGAATAAACATGGGGCATTAACATGCTATTGGTCATATAAATGGTGGTCTAAATGGCTGGGGATACTGGAAACTACAAATATATTTGTAACATTAAGGTACTGTGGCTTAACCAGATTATGGAAGCATAGCAATTTTTCTCTTATTACAAACTCGTATGTAATAAGAGAAACTCAAGATCAGTCCAGTATAGTCGAGAAGTCAGTTTCAGTCTTATTTGTTTATTTGTTCTTATCTGCTCTGATTGTATGATTGTATCTATTTATCTGTTGTGTCTGTCTTATCTGCTTTGCTTGCCTATTTGCTTGTTAAATTTCGAGATCAGTAGTTTCAGTCAAGCAAAAATTACTTAGAAATATTTGCTTGATTATTTTTGGTAGCTTGAGGAGAGTCGAGCCTCCGTCAGCTAATATTAGACTGCGTTTTTACTCTTTACATAGCATCATTATTATTATCTCACTCATTACTCATCATTATGCATGAGAGGCGACGAGCCATATAGAAACTTGGTGAAGAATTTTTTAACATGGAAAATTGATGAGAGAGAGAGAGAGAGAGAGAGAGAGAGAGAGAGAGAGAGAGAGAGAGAGAGAGAGAGAGAATGCTTGCACCAACAAGAAATTCCATATATACAAGAAATACAGCAACAAACAAATCACAAACATGGTGATAGTTGATTCATACATCATCTGTCACTAACATAAGGATACACACATCAATAATAACGGAGGTTGAGGGGCACAAAAAGTGTTTGCATCATGATCAACACATAATTACCTCAATTTTTATGCTTTTACCTTTCTTTTAGGGAACCATTTACGGACCTCTTTAGTTCCCACGGGCATAGGCACCCTTTCAAAGGGGACCGTAGCAACAATGAAGAAGTCGATAGGTGCTTTTGTTTTGTAGAGATTGACGAGAGTGAATTAAAACTCCTTCTTAACCTCATTTTCTCGCTATCGTTATAGGATCGGTTTTTTGGGTTGTGTTGCAGGGCATTTTCCTTAATGGTCTCCGGTAAAACGCAGTTGAACATAGACCCTACATAGATAGAGAAACACAAAAATGGGTTTAGCACCAAAAAATATTCCAAGGTTTGGGAATTAATTTCATTGTTTGAAAACTCGTAATATCTCAGTTGTTTGCTAGAAAATACCTTCTTTCCTTTTTTTTCCTAGATCATAATTGAATATACTAGTCCTTTGCCATTCATTGTTGCATCTTATTCATATGTGACCCATCTTTTAGGAAGAAAAAAAAAAAAAAAAAA